AGGCCGAGTGCCAAAGAATAGATGCTTTTGAATTATGGTGCTGGAGAAGACACTTGAGAGCCCCTTGGACAGCAAGATCAAATCAGTCAATCCTAAAGGAAATCAACCCTGACTGTTCTTTGGAAGACCAGATACTGAAGTTGAAGCTCAAATACTTTGGCCACCAAATGAGAAGGGAGCACTCACTGGAGAAGACCCTGATGGTGGGAAAGATTGAAGGTCAAAGAAGACGGGGACGGCAAAGGATGAGATGGTTAGACAGTGTCATAGATGCAATGAATATGAAATTGAGCCATCTTCAGAGGACGGTGGAAGACAGGAAGGCCTGGCATGATGTTGTCCATGGGGTCATGAAGAGTCGGACTCGACTATGCAACTGAACAACAACAACAATTTGATCTTGTACACTGGTTGTGATCTTGGCAATTTTTTAAAGTCTGTCTTGTGCAGATTGCACTCTTCCTTCAAATTGATTGATCCCAAGTGATTCTTAAGTTTGGTGGTTCACAGAATGTCCATGTGGCTCAGCTGCCATTTTAATGTTAGGCTTCCAGAGACTGCCAAAATGGTTGCCCCAAAAAACTTTGTTCACTAAAGCATTAAAGGGAAAAATGTTTTAAAAGCTTTAGGCTTCCCATCCCAGTCTCTCTCTCTCTCTCTCTCTCTCTTTACATCTCATGTCAATTTCATTCCACGCTGATGACCCCCCCCCCCTTATTTTGTTTGTATGTAGCATGGAAACCTTTTTTTCCACTGGAGATGCTGCCATTTGCCTCCTCTCCAATCCCCCTTTCAAGTCAATACCAGCATGGAATTAAACTTCATGCAGCTCATTTTAAACTTCCCCCTGTCATTTTATTTTTTATTTTTCATTCAGCAATCTGAGATTAGCAATAGTCTCATACTGCTAGACTCATGCCACTTGTAAAAAAAATTAAACTAAGGAGGAAATGCAGCTTGTACACTGATGAAGGGGGAGGATGATGGACGGTGCAGAGTGGGTGGAATGACCTTGATTTGGGTGGGGAGTGAACAAGATGCAGCAAAAGTGTGGGGGAAAATCAGAGGGAATATGTACGCTTTTGAATTACTTTCAGCTTGAAAAGTGAAACAAGGGAGAAATCAGCACAAAAACAATCTCAGAAAACCCAGGAAAGTGACCAGAAAGTGAACTGAGAACTGAAGGGAGGAAAATCAATGAAGAATGACAAAGAAAACACAATGGACATGCATTGGATAAGCGAGAGAAAACACCTGTGCATAATAAGCCACTTAACCATTTGAATAGAAGATTACAGGGAGATGCGCCATTAACTTTGTAACCTCAAATTAAGAGACAACTGGCTCTGCAACATCTGCAGTATATGACCTCTTTTGATTTGCTAACAAATGCATTTGAGAACAATCTGTTCTCCTTTGCTGAACTTCATTGCAATTCTGGTAGCTAAAATTTTATTTTTCATGAATTTATTTACATAAATTTGTTTACAACTTTGGCACCTCTGCATAACTAAATCTGATAGCTGCATGGCATAATGATGTCATCTTATTCAGTGAAAGATCTCTTATTAACCGTGATCAAGTGTATGGGATTGAAATTTATTTAATTAATGGTTTAGAAACTTACAAATAGATAGAAACTTACAAATAGATAGAAATGACCTCACTAAAATAATCAACAAACTGTAAAAGCATGCAAGAAACACAACCCTCATTCAATTGACTTCAGTTACCCTTAAAGATGGCAAATCTGCATGGGATTGTGATGTCAGCTCAATTATTATTGCTCATCCACAAAGGCTGGAAAAAAGACGGCATATTATGTTCTGGGGCAACATTTCCCAAGGAATCCCCCGCAGTTGGCCTAAAACCAAAGAAATGACCCCCCCAGTTAAAGGAGGAAGCAATTGTGTGGATTTGTATGAAAAGAAAGCACAGTACTGAGATTCTGGCAAGAAATAGAGACAAATACAGCTGGAGTGGACTGAAGCACTTTAGTGGTGCATGATCTTTTTCTCTGTAAATCTAATTTGGGGTAGCAGATCTGCTGCTCTGTAATAGTGCCTCTTACTTCTAGCTGTGTTTTACCTGTATAGTTATAAAGAAAACAAAACAAAAAGGGGCATAACCCTCCAGTGTTCTCTCCTTCAAAGGTAACTAAGCCACTAGCCCCCAGAATTTAACATAAGCACTAGCCTCAGGGACTTCGTATCAATTGGTGAAGTGAAGTGCTTTAACAATATGTGTAATATATCTCAAGATTAAAAGAGTGAAGGCCAGGGGGATAAATGGAAAAATTTGGGGGAAAACCTATATTTTTACCCCAAGTGACCCCCCCCCCAGATTTCCAACACAAAACCAGAAGTTTCATCCACATAATGTTTACTGCATTTGGAATTAGTGAAATGCTGTTTAAGACTAAGTATTACTCAAAATGTGTAGAAGGAAGATTTTTACGTAGGACAATCTACAGCATTAGATAATAATATTTCCTCTGTACACTGTAAATATATATAATAGCTTGGATTCTACATAGAATTTCCATGGCGCAGAATTTCGGCAGGCTCCTCCTGTCAGAGAACTCTGATAACCTCCAAGCTATTTCTCTCTCTACTTCATACCCCTGTCATTTCCCCACCCACAGACAGATTTTCCCACCAAAAATATTTTTAGTTCCCCTCAGTGACTGAGCTGCCCTTTAGTAGCATGTATTTCTTCTTTACTTTATAAACTTTAACTGTCTCACCCTGTCACAGATATTAGTTTAGGCTTATGACCCAGCACAGGAACTAGAAGGAACAGATAAAGAAAGAAGTACTTTTTTCCCTTTCTCACAATACAAGAACTCGTGGGCACTCCATGAAATTGCTGAGTGGTCGGGTTAGAACAGATAAAAGGAAGTACTTCTTCACCCAAAGAGTGATTAACACATGGAATTCACTGCCACAGGAGGTGGTGGTGGCTACAAGCATGGACAGCTTCAAGAGGGAACTGGATAAACATATGGAGCAGAGGTCCATCAGTGGGGAAGTTGATGCACTGTATTATTAGTGCTTGGGGGGGCAACAGTGGGAGGGCTTCTAGTGTCCTGGCCCCACTGATGGACCTCCTGATGGCACCTGGTATTTTTGGCCACTGTGTGACAGAGTGTTGGACTAGATGGGCCATTGGCCTGATCCAACATTGGCTTCTCTTATGTTCTTAGAGGGAATACAGGAGCTGTCTTGTTTTTAAATACCCTCTTGAAATGGCATGTGAGGCAAAATTAACTTTCAAAACAGAACAGAAATTTTAATAAACAGGGAATGTATAAATATGAGGATTTAAGGTATAAAAGTTGCTGAGTTAAAACTTTCTAATATATACAAATTTGAGATTTTTGTACAAGAGAGTGTTATTGTAGCTTAATTTCTGAGTTTCAAGTTCTTTTCAGTGAGAGGTTTTTGCTTATTATACATTTTAACTGTTACACAATATTTCAAATACATTCTTAGAGAATAGCTTTGTCTTAGTGCTTCTAGGTTTCTCCCTTCAGATCCCTAGGATTTCCCTTTAGATATTATAGCTTTCCAGTAACTCTTGAGGTGTCTAAGCTCTTCCCCTTTATCACAGACCAGGGTTCTCTTCCCAACCCCTTCCTACTGGCTAGAAGTTATCCTTCTTGTTCCTAAAAAGCAATAACTTCTTCTCCTATTTGGTTTGTCTGGGGGTTCTCTCTAATTCCTCAAACCTCCTGCCAAATTCCTCTTCCAGTTCTATATGTCTGTATAAAGCAGTGTTGTAGCTTTCTTGACTGAAAATCTGAATTCTCCCTCAAAGTAGTTTTAATATATCTTAGACAATGGACTCCCTCTTCTTTTCTCTATAAAAGTACTTTCTCTGACAATTCCCTGACAGAAATCACTGACTCTCAAAGTCTCTTCCCTCAGAAGCCAAACCCTCTGACTACTGATCCAGACATTAGATTCCAGACAAAGATTAAAAGTGATTCAAAAGGTGAATGAACCTTTTCCCTCCAGATCAGCTGTTTTATTTCCGCTCTAAGCTTGTGCTGGCTAATCAGTGAGTGACTAAAACAGCCAATCACATAAGCTCTTCTCTCCAGAGAAGATTAACTCTCAGACTCTCTGTCCCAAGCAGCATCTCTGTGCAATCTATCACACTTGTCTATAAGGTTTTTTTTCTCCCTTACCACCAGATTGAATAGTATCAGACGAATAAGCCTGAAACTCAGATAACAAGATTTTGTCTAGAGCCCAGGTCTCCTGAAGAAACACAAAGTCATTATGTGCCGATAGTTCTTTAATTTCTGAGGAGGTGCTTTTAAGTTTCCATCCAGCAATGTTCCAGGAGAGTAGTTTCAAACAGTGCCCCCTTGGTGCATTTGATGCATTTTCCAGTCATTGGCCCGCATGGATTTGTTGGAAAGAATCATTACAAGATCTAGTTTGTCCAGTTAGACTGGGTCACTTAACAATTATCTTAAGTTTGAGCAGGGATCGTTTTGTAGAAAAAAAGCTGCAGGAGCTCATTAGCATCCTTAAGAAGCTATTAGCATAATAGCTCATTAGCATATGCCATACCCTCTGACTTCACTGGAAGGCCACATAATCCTGTTGAGCATCTATCCCAGAACTCCTGGATCCAGACAGGACATCTGTAGTAGTCTGGCAACTCTTCATTTCACCAAGAGGAACTAGAAATGCTTGCTTTGTCAGTGGATCAGTAGGGACCTCCAGCATGACTATTGGTTGACCACTAGGGCATTGGGCTAATTCAGATGAGTTAAGTTCCACTCTAGAAAAATGAATCTTAACAAGGTTCTCCAAAGAGTTTTCAATTTATTAATTATGGGGATTTATTTGCCAAAAATTAAAGCCCCAAATGATTCAATCAAAGTTGTTTCCATTGGTTTGAAGTCAAATCCTGTAGCTGCCTTAGTTGTCTCATCCTTTGTCACCTTTATTTGATGATTAATAAAGAATGAGGAAGGATCAGTCACTTGCTGAGAAGGTGAAACAAGTTCAATGAACATAGGCTCTTCACTAGACTTTTTTCCTTCCAGTCTTTACCCAGATAGTGTAGTGTATTAGGGAGTAGAGGGAATAGCCTCTGTGTATCAAAAGCTCAACCCAGCCATGTACACCTGTGTGCATGCCAGTCCCAAGTCTAGATAAATGGGGAGGGTTGGAGAAAGTCCTGGTGACCAACTCCAGAAAAATCTGCCAAGAAAATTTTATGGAAAGGCTCTCAAAAGTATCAAACATGGTGTCCAATGGCAGGACACCCAGGCCAAAAGTTACCCAACAAATTACTGGTAAAGAGCAAAGATCTCTAGCAAGTAGTCATGGTATTAATGTGCCTGGGACAAATCCAGGAGGAATCTCAGCTGCTGATAAAGCCAAAAGTGAAAGCAAGAGCCTACGCTGTCCAGAGACACACAGAGTAGCAACATGGGATGTCAGAGGAATGAGTCAGGGTAAAAAGTCATGTCTAAAAAGACCCAGAACAAACAAAAGCGACTGATGCGGGAGCATACCGGGAGCAGGCGCAAGGGAGCGTTCACACTGTTGGGCCAGAGGCATGGCTGTAAGGCACGGCTTTCTTTTTTTGTAATCTGGAGATATGCGCTTATGCGCATGACGTATTAGGGAATAAGAAAAAATCGGCTTTTGGCATTCACACTTTGTTGGTGCAGGATGGACGCAGGATAATCGCACTTTCCAGGGTTTGCTACCACTTTCACCAGGTATCTTTTAAACTCAGGAATGAAGCGTTACAAGACGGGTTGATTATGGGTGGGGAACGCCTGACAGATGTGCCTGTGTGAACGGCCCATTTAATCTGGTTGTGAAACGTTCCTCACATGCGCCTATATCAGGGCAAACTGCCTATCTGAACTCAGCCATAGAATAGCAACATGGAATGTCAGAAGAATGAGTCAGGGACACAGGGCAAATAGGTTATTGTCAAAGAAGAAATGATAAGGTTGAAAACTGACCTCCTTGACATCAGTGAGCTACATTGGACAGACAATGGCTTTTTCCAATCTGAGGATTTTACTGGCTACTATTCAGGACATGACACCAAAAAAAAACAAATGGAGTAAACAAGAAATTTGCTCATGCAGTGGAAGGCTTCTCAACAGTCAATGATTGAATTATTACCATCTGACTTCGTGCCAAGGCCCTCAGAATCACAGTTGTCCAAGTCTATGCTCTAACAACTGATACAATGGAACTCGACCTAGAGGGTTACTATGCCATCATCCAAGAAACTCTGAAAAAAGACATTGTTTACATATTGGGAGATTTCAGTGCAAAAGTTGGCACCCATACTGAGACAGGCATCATGGGTAGATTTGGACTTGGGAGAAAGGAACAATGCAGGCAATCGTTTGGTATAATTTTGCCAAGAAAATCGCTTTCAAATCATGAATACTTGGTTCAAACAGCACAAATGTCACTTATACACTTGGACCTCTCCAAACAAACTATACCATAATCAGATTGACAACATCCTATGCAATCATAGGTGGATCAGTACTCGCTGTCAAGACATATCCAGGCACCGACTGTGGTTCAGATCATGAATTGTTGCTGGCTAAAATCAGAGTGAAACTATGCAACATCAAAAGGACAGCACCATTAAAGAAGTTTGATGTCACCAACATCCCTTCCACATACACAACTGAAGTAAAAAATAGGTTTGAATAGCTGGACATGGCTGAGAAAATGCCTGACAAACTGTGGCAGGAAATTCATTTGATGATCATAGAACTAGCAGCTGAACATATACTATACAAGAAGCCAGAGAAAAAGTGCAAATGGCTCTCAGACAGAACCATAAAAATAAGAGTGAAGAAAAGCAGCCAAACCAGCAGGAAAATGGGAAGAAGACTGAATGCAGATTTCCAGAGGGCAGCAAGGAAAGACAATGAAGTTCTGTGGGATGAGCATTACAAAAAGCTAGAAGAGGATTGCATAAAGGGCCACATCAAGTTTGCATTAATGCAAGTCAAAAAGATTTGAACACCACTTACTGCCTTTAAAGGCATTATCAAAAGCAAGGGAAAGAACTGTCCAACCAACAAGATGTCAAAAACAGATGGCGATAATACACAGAACTGTACAATAGTAGCAAAGAAGCCCAACCTCAGGATACCAAGGAAAGGGAAGTTAAGAAAGAACCAGCCATCCTTGAGGAAGAGATCATGTGGGCAATGAGCCAACTACCAAACAAGGCTCCAGGTGTTGACATCATTTTGGCAGAATTGCTGAGGCCTGTACCACCTGCAATCATCCGAACCCTGTGTCAGAAAATTTGGGAAATCAACACATGGCCAAGACCCTGGAAATGCTCAGTGTTCATTCCACTACCAAAAAAGGGAGACTCCATAGACTGCTCCAATTATTGCACAATCTCTCTCATCCCTCACATTAGCAAAATTCTGCTTAAAATTATACAACGCCTGGCACCAGCCATTGAAAGGGAATTACCAGATGTCAAAGCCGGCTTCCGAAGGGGGCATGGCACTCACAACCATATAGCAAATCTGTATTGGATCATGGAGAAATCTTATGAGTATAAAAAGATGATCTACTTATGCTTCATTGATTATAAAAAAGCCTTTGACTGTGTCGATAATAACAAACTGTGGAGAGCCCTACAAGACCTGGGGGTGCCAGCACTTCTGGTCAAGTTGATACAATCATTGTACACAAACCAGGAAGCCACTGTGTGAACACCATATGGAGATACTGATTGGTTCAAGATAGAGAAAGGAGTATGACAAGGTTGTATTATTTCACCTTTCCTATTCAACATGTATGCCGAAACGATCATGAGGAAGTTAGAGCTGGAAGAGTCAAAAATTGGGTTAAAGATTGGAGGACAGAATATCAACAATCTTCAATATGCTGATGCCACAGCCCTCCTCTTGGAAACTAAAGAAGGCCAAGTTCATGACCACCAAGAAGAAGAGAAGCATCAAAATAACAGTTGACAATGAAGAGATCAAATGTTTGGAAGAATTCACTTTCTTAGGATTACAGATCAACCAAAACAGTGAACATGGTTCAGAAATAAAACCTTGAATCATGCTGGGTCGCACAGCAATGATGAACATGAAACAAATATCGAAGAGCAAGGACATTAGCCTAGCAACCAAATGAAAATTAGTCTGTGCTATTATGTTCCCCATAGCAACCTATGACTGTGAAAGCTGGACCATGAAGAAGCAAGACAGGAGGAAAAATGACTCATTTGAGCTGTGGTGCTGGAGAAGCCTCCTGTGCATTCCTTGGGCAGTAAAGGTGACAAATAAGCAAGTATTGGAATGCATAAAACTAGACATGTCATTGGAACGAAGAATAATAAAACTGTGACTGACTTATTTTGGCCAGGTCATGCAGAAGAACTCACTAGAAAAAGCAATTATGCTTGTATTGGTTAGCAGCAAAAGGAAACCAGGCTACCAAAGAACATGGTGGCTAGACACCATAAAAGTCAACACCAGCCTGAGCATGAAATGACTCAAAGAAGCAGTACAAGATCAGAAAACGTGGAGAGAGCTGGCCCATAGAATCACCAGGAGGCAGACATGACTGAATGGTTAACAACAACAATATCAAAAGCTCTAACAGGGCACATATTGTATCATTTGAGATATGATACTTAAGAGCATATTAAAGATGGCAATCTTGAAGAATAAAAATAAAGTCCTATATGGTCCCTAGGAATCAAACCTGGGAACCATTCCACATATTGCAAATCAGTTAAACTTAAATCCTAAATGCTGTTTTGCTTCCCATTTGTTCTTCTGGAAGATAAGTGTACCACAGTAAGGGAGTATATTTAAAACTATTTTATTTTTGTTCAAAAAGAGAAGCCCTAAATTCACAAAATTAGCACAAAATACATTTTTTAATTTAGATTTTGTGACATCAGAAGTTGATTTTTGCTTGGTGTAATATATTGATGTTGGCAATAAAGCTTTTAATTTCTCATATAACATCTTAGCATCTGAAACTTTACCATCTTGTTTTGTAGCATCACCCACCCTTAAAAGCTTAGAATGAAATCAAGAAGGGTTTTTTTTAGTTGCTCTGCCAGGTCATTAAGTTTGGTATGGATTTTTTTCAAGTGTCTCAGCTATTTAAAAGGTTTGGGTAGCAAGCATATTATAATCAAAAATCCTTTGATCCTTACAAGAAAGACAATCACTAGGCAAATTAAAACCCCTTCTCCTCCTTGGTGTCCGTGG